GAAATGAGATACGAATCCATAAAGCAGAATGAAAACAATTTTTTATTAATTTTATGTAAATGAAATCCATCTGAATTCACCCAATGAACAGACTTCTGAATGTGTTCAGAAGTTAATTCTTACTTTCCTGCTTTTTTTGGTTAAGAGAACTGTGTTTCTTGCATTGTGTTTCTTAGTGAGAGCTGAAGTCTCCTGGATTTTAACTCATTCCTCACTTACAAAATGAAAAGTTTTAGGTATTGAGGCAGGTCATAGCTAAAAATCTACAGTAAAGAGTATTTTTGGTGATCTGGACTATCAAAACTGAAGAAAATGTTAGAAATCACTTTATGAGCTAGATTGTAAATAGTTACTCAGTTCCAACAAAAACATTTTCAGGGTTTTTTTCTCATGCACCATTAATGCTGTATTTTATATATTGTGTTGTGATATGCATGGGAGTGACTGGGTGTTTAATGGAAGTCAGATTTGTGCCAGGCTTACCTGGATGATGCTTCTCTTGAGACAGCAGCCTTGTCCCTGGTGTTGGAGGGAGCAGAGGAGCAGCTCCAGAGAGCCAGAGGTGTGTTTTGGATCTGTGTGTGTTTTGGAGCAGTGCTCTTGCTGCCATGAGGATGGGAGGATGATGCAGTTGGACAGAAACCTCTAAATCCTGCTTTTACAGTTTGGTGAGAAGGGTTTCTGCCTTCTGTGGCTGCTGCAGTTTGGGTCCAGTTCCTGCAAACAGCCAGCTGGTGTTCTTCAAGGAAATCAACATTTCCCAAGTAAAACCCCCATCTCACAGAGCAGCTTGTGGAAAATTATTTCACTGTGCTTTTGCTGAGATGACAGAGTGTTTTCCCCTTTCTGCTGCTCTGTTTGGGACTGAATTGTTGCCTTTTTAAAGAACTGTCCTAAGAACCGAAGCAAACTCTGCTTGCTTATTAAATTTCTTGCTTCAGTGTGTTCAAGCTAATGAAGAAAACACTCAGCAGTAATCTTTCCATTCTTTATTAAAATACATTGATGCTACTGCAAAGCTTCCAGATTCAGTGCTGATCTGATCTGTTTGTTCCATTGACGAGGTCAGGGTTCTTAATTTTATTAAAATTAATTTGCGGAGATGACAATGGAGCTTATTGTTAGTTCCCATCAAACTACAGAAGCCCAAGTTCAATCTTTCTGCTTTTAATATACCTATCTGTGGAGGATTATACTGAATTATTGAGAAGGAAGAGCAAATAGCTGAAGGTAGAGTAAGTTTGGTAAGGTAAGAGAAGATGGTCAGTTAATGTGCACTTTGGAAAATTAGACTAGGATTTGTGAAAGGTTTTACTTTCTATACTCCTGAAGTGCTGAGTTAAGAGATTCTACATTTGGTTATAGAGATCCCTTTCTTTCAGAAAAAAGTACTTCTACTTACTGTGTTCATCTGAAAAGTTGCTTTAGTGTTTTTAAAATGAAGAAACCAGCCTGCCTTTCTTTTTGGAGCAGCTTATGAAAGGCAGCTGCATGGGGGGAAGAAGGGTGGTTCTTGATTTGTCTTCCAGAAGCTAGCACCTTGAGCTCCCTTTTTCCCTGTAAACATAGAAGCAGTTTTATTTGAAAATCTGTGGACATGAACAAAATGAATTTGAGGTGGAAACACAGATGTAGTTGGTGGAATTATGTAAGGTTTCAGCCAGCACAGATGCCAGCACCATCCCAGCTAAAATCCGTAGTGTAGACTGGTCTAAATCAGCATCTGGCTTGTTTACAGGGGGGGCTTGATCGTTTAATGAAGTGGAGCTCCATATTGTTCCTTGTTTGAGCCAAGGGAAAAACAACTTCTGGACACAGCGAATAATTAAATTGAGGGGAGTGTAATATATCCTGTCCTAAAAGTGGTATTTGAGAACTTTATTGTTTCTTCCCGATTTCTGCGAGCTGTTTCATGTTTTCCTGTGCACCTAAAAAGAAGAATTTTGTTAAAAAATTCTAGTTATTCTAGGTCACCTTTTACAACTGACTTTATATAGTAAAAAAGTGATCTGATAAGGATTTTTTTTTTTTTGTTCCTTATTTATCAGAACTTAATATATTTTCTTCACTGTATTGAGTTACTCTACAAGTGTGTTCAGAAGATACTCAGCACACTGTCTAAACTGATCAACTGGAATTTGTTTGAAGTTTTGTGGGTTTTAATTTCTTGTCTGCTCATGCATTTTGGACATAAAGGCATGCATCTGCACTTCACAGTCACTGTGTTGCTATTTCTCTGTCAGAGGAGGCGCTCCATGATTCAGCTTCTCCTCTGTGAGGAATCCAAAATAACAAGTTGACTTGAAAACAAAGTCAAAGAAGTAATTGGGAAAAAATGTAATAAACATCAAACTGCTGTGGCTGGATGGTGATGCTGTATCACCAGTAAATCATGGAATCACAGAATGGTCTGGGTTGGAAGAGACCTTAAAGCTCATCTTGTTCCAATCCCCTGCCATGGGCAGGGACACCTTCCACTATCCTGGTTGATCCAAGCTCCTTGGCCTCTTCCAGAGATCCAGGGGAAGCCACAGCTTCTCTGGGCAATCTGTGCCAGGGCTTCCCCACCCTCAGAGGGAACAATTTCTTCCTAATGCCTAATCTAAACCTACTCCCTTTCAGCGTGAAGCCATTTCCCCTTGTCCTGTCACTGCAGTTCTTGATGTAAACAAAATTGGATGGGTCTGGTGTCTCTGACCTCCAGCTCTGCTCCCACCAGACCCATCCATGGGTAGCTACTGTGGTGGGTAGAATTGGAGGTCAGTTCAAGTAAAAAACAGTAAAAAAAAACCAACCCAATGCTGAATTTCCTCACAGTACTTGGTGTTGGCAGAGCTGTCAAGGAAGAGAAATTGCGTTGCTCTATTGAACCTTTTTATATTCTTTACTTCATAATAACCCGAGGCCTTGTGTTCAGAGGTGGTGAGCTCATATCTCAGGGGCTTTCAAAGCTGCAGATACTCAGCCTCTCTAAGAATTATGTCTGAGAGCATCTGCTTTTTAAGGGGCACAGAAGATAATTGCAGCTAAAAAGCTGATCTTGTGATATGTATGAAAGCTTTCCTGTAACGTGGGATGTCCTGAGCTATTTAGTTCCCTAAGTAGTATCTCAGTACTTGTTTGGATTGTTTTTGCAGCCAGCTGCTTTCCAACTTGAACTGCAATCTCCTTTCCCAGTCTTAATATCACTAAAACAGATGATTTCTTGTTTTCATGCCCCATCCCAAATGTGGGTTGGGATTTGTCTGCAGTGGGAACTGCTTTGTTTAAGGCCTTACAAACTAGGGCAGGGAAGAAACCATGTACAGGTACAGGTTCCCATCACACACTGTTTATGGATTTGATGGGAAGCATCACCTACTCCAGCCATACCAACTTCTGCTCTGGTAGGAATTATTGTCAAGTATTGGAGTATTGGAACAGCCACTTTTGGTGGTCCTTGGTGGCACAGTCTGTTGGTGGCAGTGGGCAGGTGCACAGGCAGTGTGCTTCTGCCTTCTCTGTTCTGAAAACCCTGTTCAACTCTCCTGTGTTTCTAACTACAACACATTAATTCCTAAAAAAACTACTGTTTCTAGAGAGAAGAAGCTTATTAAGAAAGTAATTAAAAACCTTATTTTGGGAATTGGGGGAAAAGCTTTGACCAAATGGAATAGATAAACCTAGCATCTAGTGTACTCATATAGGAGGTGTTTTGGCAAAGTAGAGAAACATTTTTTTTTTCCTTAAAATTCCCAAAAAGTCTGCTTTGCAAAGTCACCTTTAGTAAAATCAAATTAACTTTATGTTCTCCTGTATACATGTATGCATTTTTCACTTACTTTGTCACAGTTATGGGGTGCTTGATATGATCCAGCTCCTTTTTTCCCCATTATAAATGGGCATGGACATCTGTCAGGAATGGTGGAGCGGAAGCAGCAGGAAATCTGATTGCCTTTTCAGCACATTCCTCAGTCTGACACAGTTTTATAATATAGAGGTGGGAGTGAAGTTCTCTGCAGGCTGTTCAAACCAGTACTGTGGAACCTGAGCTTTAAGAGAGAGCTTTCTGTGTTCCTGATTGCTCCTCTGCTTTCATGCAGCATAAATATGGATTGCTATGGAAAAGGATAGTGCTGCCCTCTCCTCTGTCCCGGCCATGCGATAGCCCCTCATTCATGCAGCCACCTGATCTGCTGAATAGATCACTTGAGCTCTTGGAAAAATCCCTCGTTCTGTGCCAGAGTCCTCAGGAGGAGATAGTAGGAATAAGGCTGACAAATTTAAGTAGAACTTTGAGCTATGCCTTGGTAGAGCAAGGTGTGTGTGAAGGTATTTCAGTGAAGAATGTACTAACTTGTAAAACATTGCCTAACTGGGGAACAGGTATTAACTAATTTTTGGGTTGATGTGTCGGGTTTTGAGTTTAATCCTATTGTGCAGCTTGTGAGTTTTAGTTTCCTAGGCTTTGGATGGTTTTGTTAGCTGAGAGGGTTGTAATATGATAAATAAGAAGTGTTGGTCAAGTGATGTGGCAGGTTTGTATTTAATCAGTTTTGCATTCTTTGTTTTGCATTCAACAAAGTGAAACCAGCACTTTGTTGAGTTTTACATGCTGGATAACTATTCCTGGGTAAGGGAGGAAATGCTGTGTATGTTTGTCTGTTTGTCCTTTATCTATCTGCCTCAGCCTTTCCCTCTATTATGCTTTCTACACAAAGCTTTTTCTGCCTTCCCAATCCAAAGTTTCAGATTGCAGCAAGAGTGTTTGTGGATGTTTTGGTGTGAACTTGTTGCTTAGATTTACTTTATTTACTTCAGCAGATTGACCATTTATGTGGCCACCGGTTTTTTATAAATACTGGTTTATTTTAACCAGTCTCTCGTGGCCTCAGCAGGTCATGACTGGGTTTAACCAAGTAAATTTGGATTAGAATAGGTGTGGCATTTAATAATTAACTTTCTGGTTACTCAGGTCCAGTAGGAAGCCTATAATGAGTCTATTTTCATTTTGTTTACAGGAATAGTTATCTGCTTACGCTCATCCTTCATATTCGGCAATCTGAAGAAAAGATCTGAGCCAGCATGAAGACAGAATCCCCTCTTCATTAGAGAAAAAGTGAGTTGAAATCTGAATTTGTTGCATGAAAATACTGTCTTAGCCTGGCAACACACACAGCTTGTGCATGCTTTCAGGTGGCATTTTCACTTTGTAACACTATTGATATGGGTGATGTCCAGTCAAGACCTAGTTTTGGTTAAGCACATTTCTAAAATTTTCAAATTGTAAGTATTTTACATGAATTCCAACACACTCCTTTTCTGGAAGAACTGCTTACTCACTGTGTAACTGCCCACCAGATACACACCTTCCTTCCAAATCATCTAAGGTCTATTGCAGGACCTGGACTTTGTGTTCCTTTTCTTGTACTGCTGTATTCATATTGAATTTTATTTTAAGAATTTAATATTTATAACTTGTTTCTGTAGCTGTACTGGTCTCTTCTCCAGTATTCTCAGCGCTTAATGCGTATTCTGAATTTGTTTGGAAGTGTCTGTGCAAGTTTGAAGAGTTTCAGAAATGCAGGACTGAGCTTTTTTCTCATTTTTGCACTAGTAAATCCCGAATTCTGCATGTAAAATGCCAGTCTGTCAAGTCTTACCCTTTTCATAGTGATTTTACTCCCCTTAGATGTAATAATATCAAATAAAAAGGACTGCCCATTTGCCCAGCCTGATTTTAATACCCTGGGTTAAATCTCCTTTGTTTGTTGTTTTGAGCAGCTCCTTTGCTGGCACTGTGTACTGATGGTGTGTTCTGACCCCTCAGCTTTCTGCCCGCCGCAGTTCATTTCAAGGAGTGCACGATGACAGAGCGTGGAATTAAATGGGCCTGTGAGTATTGTACATATGAGAATTGGCCTTCTGCAATCAAGTGCACCATGTGTCGTGCCCAGAGACCCAGTGGAACAATTATCACAGAAGATCCTTTCAAAAGTGGTTCCAGTGATATCGGGAGGGACTGGGATCCTACGAGCACTGAAGGAGGGAGCAGTCCTTTGATATGCCCGGATTCCAGTGCAAGACCAAGGGTTAAATCATCCTACAGTATGGAAAGTGCAAATAAATGGTCGTGCCACATGTGCACGTACTTGAACTGGCCAAGAGCTATAAGGTGTACCCAGTGCTTGTCTCAGCGCAGGACCAGGAGTCCCACGGAGTCTCCTCAGTCTTCAGGCTCCGGGTCCAGACCGGTCCCTTTTTCTGTGGATCCGTGTGAGGAATACAATGACAGAAATAAACTAAACATAAGGGCTCAGCACTGGACTTGTTCTGTTTGTACATATGAAAACTGGGCCAAGGCCAGGAAATGTGTTGTGTGTGATCACCCCAGACCCAACAACATTGAAGCAATAGAACTGGCAGATACAGAAGAGGCTTCTTCCATCATAAATGAGCAAGACAGGGCTCGGTGGAGAGGCAGCTGTAGTAGTGGTAATAGCCAAAGAAGATCTCCACCAACAACCAAACGTGAATCTGATGTGAAAATGGACTTCCAAAGAATTGAATTGGCTGGAGCTGTTGGCAGCAAGGAGGAGCTTGAAGTTGACTTCAAAAAACTAAAGCAAATAAAAAACAGAATGAAAAAGACTGACTGGCTGTTCCTAAATGCTTGTGTGGGTAAGTTGTTTACTGCTACCTTCTGCTCTTGTGCTGGTGGTTAAGTATTTTGGGAGAATGAAGAATTAAAACAGAAACTTGGCATTTGATTTCAAACCAGCTTTTTTTATCTCTGCATTTCCATTTAAAAAAGTGAGCCAAATGTAGAGGTTCCTGAAATAGCACCTGCTAAGAGAGGCTGTGAAGTTCATCCATAATCTGAACAGGGTTAGACATGTCTCTCAAGTGTACTTGGACTTTTTTGACCTTTTGTAGAAATGGATATTCTTGTAACCAAATCCTGTTGTTCCATATAATTGTCAAAAGGTGGAAAAATTACAAAGCAGATCAACAGAATGTGAGTGCATATAGTACTGTAAAAAATGCCATTACTGGGTAATTAAAATTACTCTTCTTTTTGCTATGGCAAGACATACTCTGTAAAGTCAGCAGCTGCAGCTTGGGAGTATTTGTAAACAGTGTAGAGATTGCAACAGTACAAGATGCTCTGTCAGATGTTAAAAATAACACCAAAATATGTAGCTCCAAGAAACTGCATGTGTAATACTGACCTTGAAAGTAATAATGTTGTATTAATACACATACTGTGTTGTAAATGTTTACAGGCTTTCTGAAAGTATTTTTGTAGTCGGCTGCTTCAAAAAAACGTTCAAATACCAATTTTGTTTTGTATTTTAGTGCTCTCCTAAGGAAATACTGGATAATTCTCACAGTGCTGTTAAAGAACAGAGCCATGTGAGAGCAGGGTTTTCTTCAGTTATTGACCTTGTGAGTTAATTTCTGTGCTGTAGCTTCCCAGAAGCAGATATCGTGTGCCCCAGCATACGAGCAGGTTCAACACTTGAAATATGCAACTATTTTTAGAGTAAAACACTTCATTTGAAACTCTGGCTCTGCTAGTATGTCTCATGCTGTTCCTTAATGTTTCACAAAGTCACTTCGTGGTTGTAATCAAAAACCTAATTAGTGGAGCTGCTTTGTTTAACATATTTGATCAGGTGTAAATGATTTTGTGGGTATGCTGTGTTTGGTTTCTCTGAGCTAATAAATATTCCAGTTTATTTTTGTGTTGTGTGAATAGTGTGCATAGACATGCACACTTCCTTTTGGAAAGAGATGCCTCAGTATTTCCTGATACCTCCAGTTCTTTATAAGCTTTTTTCCTTCTGAAATGAAGCAGCTGAAATTCTGTGTGGTATTTTTTGAGTTTCTGAGTACCAACAATCAGTTGTTGGAGGTTGTTCCTATGCCTTACATGGGTATTTATCTTGTATTCTGATAGTAATTGTATTTAATATTAGGCTATTTTTTTCCTTTGGTTTTCAAAAGTGATTTTTTTTTTTCACTTTTCTAATGTTACTTGAAATATTTCACACTTTCTGATTTAACCTGTGTGGGAAGGGCTGTATTTATATTTAAGAACGTGGGTTTGCAAGTATTTAATGTTGCTTGTGACGATATAGTTGTACATAAAACCCAAAACCATGTTCATACAAGTTTTGTAATGCAATAGTGCTTTGGTCTGAAGGGATCTTGGTGAGAAAGGCAGAATGCAGGTGGAGTTGTGTGCTGATTGTTACTACTGAAAGCTTTCATGGATTTCTTTCTCTAACTTAAACACCTGTTGTACTCCTGGGGAAGAGGAATGATGGAGGCAATGGAGCTAGCAAACAAAGCTGTTAATTATCTGTCCATCTCAGAATTTAGTTTTGCATGTTACAGATACCATTTTTTTCCCCCAAAATTACTCTTTGTAATAGGAATAACCTTAGGAAGATTGATGGAGGTTGCATGGATTCTCTTGTGCTTGTTTCTGGTTGTTGTGTTGTGTATCTGTGCTAGAAAAGTACATCAGTTTAGCCAGTAATAATTAAAGCAATAAGCTAAATTTCTGCTGGTGATCTTAGTGTGACATCCTTAAACCAATTTAACTGTCAATTGAATATCTTTGCCCAAAGAATCTGTTTTTATCATTAAAACCAAGTGGGTCGCTGTGACTTAGTGAGTTGTTTTTGCCAGCTGGAGCTCTTGGAAGTTTAAGCTGAGCTGAACACTTGTCAGTCCTTAGCCAAGCAAAATTATAAAATAGGACAAGTTCATGTTAAATGCCAAGAAAATTTGTGAACACTGATGGACCAAGAGTTTGTGTGTTACCCTGCTCCATCTGACAGATGGTGCCTTGTTAGGATTTGGGAACTTCAGACTGAAACTTTCAAGTTTAAGCTCAATCAGTTGTGGAGAGTCCATTTGCTTTGAATCCATCTTTTGTAGGAGAGATGTTAAGGTTGAACTCCCTCTTCACATCCCAACTCCAGTACAAAATTCTTTTTACTAATTTTTAAATTTAATGTCAAGTTTCATTAAAAAACATGTATCATACTATTCTTTTCCACATCTGTTCTTTTTAGCTGATACATTAAGAGAGATGTCTATGAAGTAGATTTAAGGTGGTGTGTGTGTGTTTGTATTTTTGTGTGTTTGTAATTTTTTTCTTTGTTCTGTTGGCGGTATCCATTAATGCTTTTCCCACCTCAGTAAGTAAACATGTCATCAAGGCTTTTATTCCTTGCAAATCCAGGCTGGACGAAATGTGATGAGTGCAACTCTTGCCTTTCAGCATGAATAGTTTCCTTGATGGAGGGTATTCCTTCCAAATCAGAAGGATTAGTGGTATTTCCCCATTCAAACTCTGCCAGCAAATGTACTTGAATGTTGCTTTTTTTATTGACTTGCTTTTTTCAGAGTGAATGTATCTGTTGGGTGATTCTTTCTCAGAAAGGTGAGATTTTTAAACTGATTCCTGTGGTTAAAATATATCAAAATCCTAGCAGAAGCTGGAGTAAGTGTGTCTTGATAACCTGGCTTCCTCCAAATGCCAGCTTAAATTACAAAGAGGAATTACAAATGGTTTCTGCAGTGACAGCAATGTTTTCTTCCATAGTGGCCTAGAACAAGATTAATGTTAAGTCCAAGGTGACTCATTTCTTAGGGGAGGGAACTGATGTATACTTAAATTAAACTTTATTATCTTTTCTATAACTCATGATACCTATGGCAGAGACTGTCAGGCAGTCCTGGTGGCCTATGGGACTTAAGGAATGTGATGTGCAACAATCAAGAGTTGCTGTGGGGCCTGGTGAATCTGGTTCCAGCTGGCTGTGGATTTAAGGAGTACAAATGGATGGGGATGGTTGTGCCTATAAAACCTCTCTGGCATCCAGAGTTTGCTTGGGTGTTACCCTGGAGCTTCACATCTCCTGGCACTTCAGGGCTGCATTGGATGGTGATGCTGGCAGAGTGTGTTTGCTGCAGGGCACTGCTGGGGATTCTTGAGTTGTGAGTGCAACTCCTGAGCTTGAATTGCTAGATAGAAGGTAAACTGCATTTCTTCTCCTTTTCCTTTCTTCTTCACCTGTTTATCACCTGCTGAAAGAGTGTGTTCTTTTGGTTCAGGTCAGTAAAGTGGGTATTGCTGTCACGGGCCAGAGCTTCTTGTGGTGATGCTACCTCCCAAATCAAGTAGGCACATGTTCTTTTTAGCTCTGTGAAAGAAACGGCTAAGAGTGTGTTTCTTAAACAAAACCAAAATATTTAGAGCAATCTGTGATGAATCTTGTTTTGCAGTACATCCTTAAAAGGACTCTAAGTTCATTCCTTGTATTCTTACATATGTCTGCTTAGTTTTTCCTTTGTCAACTGCTTTATCTCTCCTACAGGGTTTTTTAATGCCATTAGTTTTTTGAATTAGTGCCAAATATGTTACCCAGACCTTCAGAAACCCTGTGGGCAAGGAGAGTCTCTCTGTCCAGACATGGGTATGGAGTTGGCTGGGCTGTGTCCCACGCTGCCCTGCAGCTCCAGGAGACACAGAGGCACCTCCTGCTCTGTGTCCTGCAGAGCCTCTGGCTCTTCTCTGGGTATTTATAAAGCCTGAAGGAACTGACATAAACGAGGTGCTTTCAGCTGGCACTACCACCCAGAGTTGTCCCAGGTGCCCCTTTCTGTCCTCCTGGGTGTTTGAAAATGAAGCAGGATTAGGGGATGTTTTTGTGGGGGGTTTCATTTTGTTTTGCTGGTGTAGTAAGTTCAGACTGGCTTCCTCTTCACATCCAGGGTACAGCTGAACTTTGTTGGTTCTGTTTATCTTGTGTTGTGGGAGTGGGAAGTGTACAGGTGGCAACAAAGCTGCTGGAAGCCAGGAGAGGTCATGCACCTTTCCTTGCTGGTGTCAGTCTGGGCTGGAACAGTTTAGGGAAGTGCAGCATGGATTACTCAGTGCCAGGTGATACCCTGCCACGCTGGCTGTGCCTGGGGATGGCAGATGGTGCCCGTGGGGATGATTGGGAGAGGAAGAGTCCCTGGTGTGAGTGGTACAGCCTGACCTCCTTCCCTGTTCCCCTGGGACAGTGGGAAGTGTGACTTGGCTGCTGTGCCAGGTAGCAGTGATGTAAGCTCACAACTCTCACCTGGCTGGGAGAGCTCTGTGTATTGTCATCTGTGCCTTGTACATCTGTCCTGTCATAAATGCTTTACATTTGTGTGTTTGTATCTTTGAGACTGAGGAAAACTCTGCCTGCTGTACTTCTTGTCAGAATATCATAACTCCTGAAACACCCTTTTACTTTTTTTAAACACTGATATTTTATGCTTAAAATAATTGAATAAACTATCAAGTTAGAACCAGTTATTTCATTTTTCCTTAGAAGCACTGATGGTTAACTTTAATTATTACCTTTAATGATTTTCCATTGTCCAGCCTCCCTTTTGGGTACAACCCTGCAAGCAACAAGGGGTGAGGATGCGCTGACAGATTGGGGAAGGATAAGGACATCTTTAAACAATTGTTCATACATCTGTACTTCTTTGTCTTGTAGTGATATGTTCACAATCTACTACATTAATTGTATGTAGGGAGAAGAGCAAAGAATAGTAGTCATCCTCCCATGCATTGGATGGATTCAGGTTTAAGGTACATGTCATCTTAGAAGTATTTACTTCCT